TCTTTTTCTTCTTTCTTAAGGCTGAACAGTATTCCATTACACAGAGCTTGCTTGCTTTCCTCATTATTTCCATTCTATCTCGTGCTTTTTACTCATTCCTGTTCACCTTTGGTAATAGTCCATTATGTGAACAGCCATAATCACTATTTACCTACTTGTCCATAAACAGTATGTGGAGCTCCAGTTTTGTACCACCACTTGTCATAAGATGGTGCCATGAACATTCAGGTTACCTCCCGGCGTCCGGGAGCAGGGCTCCATCTGGAGTGGACATGGAGAGTTTATGGCTGGCTTGTCAGGGCTGTGACGCTCACGTGGGGAGCTGAAGTGTATTCTTGGCGTGGGACCCGCTGTCTGGGACCTGGCGGCAGCCTCGCTGCCACGGCCCCCGGCCAAGCCGCCCCAGTGGGCCCCGTTCCCCAAACACTGACTCACGATGCCCTTCCTTCTCTCCAGGGCTTTGCAGGTGCTGGTCCCTGGCCCGCGGTGCGCTTCCTGCCCTGTTTCCATCTCCTTAGGGCCAGGGGTACAGCTCAGCAGCGTGGCGCCTGCCTGGCAAGCGCAGGGTCCTGAGGTCCGTTCCTGGTACCAAAGAAAACCTGTTTCCATCTCCTTTCCTCATTAAAGTCAGGCTGAAAGCCCGACCTCCCTTCCCAGGGCCAGTGTGCTCTGCGCCTCCGCACACCTTGTCTCCAGAGGAAAGAACCAGCGGGACCCCCGGCTCGGTTGTCTCCTGTCTTTGATTTTCTGCAAGCTCTTTTTGCCATCACCTCGGGGAAGCAGCTACGATGACTGTCTCCGCACTGCAGAACAAACAGCCTCTTAGAGGAATGCAGGGGCTTGTGTGCCCGGAGCTCAGGGGCAGGTGTGGGGCAGATTCCGGATCCGCCCGCCCCCAACACCTTGTTCCTGGACACCAACCGCCACTGCCACAACTAGGGCGCCACATACTGTTGTTCAAAGCGCTCCGTGGGCAGAATTTCGCTACAGCAGCCCTAGAAAGCTAATACAGGACGGAGGAAACGGTGCCAACGTGATAATCACCCTAGATATTTACTTTTCAAGGGGCTCCATAGCATTACTCAAGAAAGCGACGTTAGTAGGAAAAAACGAACACGCAGTCGCTTATCGGAGGCCATCCTGATGGGAGACACACACACGTTTTCAAACAGCTGCTACCTTGTAAAGGAGCCCCGGTCAGCAGGATATTCCTGTTGGCAGGGGACTGCGTATTTGCCTAAAACAACAGCACCCTGTTTCTGCAGTAGGCAACCTACACAAACAAGGAAATATCGCTGGAGAAATTAGCCAAGGCGCCCAGCACAGAAATCCCACAGACACGAATGCGGACGGGACCCGCTGAAGGGTGACAAAAGATAGCTCGCACACACACAGGCTTGCTCTCTGCAGTGTCTGACATTTCCCTGGAAAAGCTGCACCCAGGAATTTTTAAAGGCATAGACGGCAGTGCTGGGAGGAAGTTTAGAGATGATCTGCTCCTCCTACCCAATCCACTGGTTGAGAAAACTGACACTCAGGGAGGGGAAGGGATTTGTCCAAGGGCACACAGTGGTGAGGGGGTACTGGGACTCCTGAACCCTGCTCTTCTGACCCCAAGTCAGTGACTCCTTCCCTCTCTACCATTTTCCCTTCTCCACATTTCTTTTTTGTTTGTTTGTTTTCTTTGAGACAGGGTCTCGCTATGCAGTTCAGGCTGGCCTTGAGCCCACTTTGTAGCCCAGGCTGGCCTGGAACTCACAAGGATCCTCCTGCCTCAGCCTCCTGAATGCTGGGATTGCAGGCATGCGCCATCACACCCAGCTCTCCATATTTCTGATTGTAGCTGAATTCTAGCTGTAGTAAGTGCATTGAAAGAAAATCACGTACAGTGCCTAGCATGTAAGACATTACATGTTCCCCCTGGCCCTGGGATTTTTGCAGGGCTGGCTTTCTGCTCTCTCCCACTGATCTGGGAGTGTCTGAGAATTATTCAAATGTATGCTGAGGAAGCTGGCAGGCAGGATGACATCCTTTCCCCCAAAGTCTGATCTATTCCCTCACGGACAGAACTGCTACCCTGGCAAAATGCCGTCCCCTGGCTTTCTTGTCTCCGTGAACATTTCCAAGGGGCCCCTTATACCTTCAGTGACAAATAGCAGGGGGGACACTTGGAGGGCAACCGTGACAGCACACAGGGCACAGCACACAGACACACTGAGCTCTCACACCACCGTGTCCACACACACCCTGAGCACACACCCACACAGCACACGCCACACACACAGCCCACGTGGACAACACACACAGGTAACTCACATGGCCACAAGGCCTCTTTTTTTTTTTTTTTTTTCTTTTTGAGACAGGGTCTTACTATGCAGTTCAGGCTGGCCTTGAGCTCACCTTGTAGCCCAGGCTGGCCTCGAACTCACAAACATCCTCCTGCCTCAGCCTCCCGAATGCTGGGATTACAGGCATGTGCCACCATGCCCGGCTCCCACAAGGCCTCCAAGGAGTGAAGTATGCTCCTGAAGAAGCCCAAGTGGGGGGTACGGAGTAGAAGACAGAGCCTCACCTCTGGGTTTGCCTGTGCCCCGTCCTGGCTTTAGTCAGGTTCCCAACTTGTCCAAGCGGCAATGTGACCCTCCGACCCCAGGCTCTTAGCGGGAGTGAGGAGATGGTGCACAGGGGCTGCGCGGGCCTGCACTGCCCGCTGAGCACTTGTCCGTGCTGTTGTTTCTGTGCGAATTGCTGCTCGGCTGGGTTTCTGGCCGCTCCTCACCGCCAGGACTGTGGACAGCAGAAGGCCCGCCAACCCCCTGGCTCCTGTCTCCTCCCCGCACTTGCCCTCCAAAGTGATCTTTCGGACCCGCCAATCTCTCCTTCCTTCCACAGGCAGCTGCTCTGGCCCCCCTTCTCTCCAGGATGAAGTCCAGACTCCACGCCTGGACGCACGAGTCCTTCATCGCCTGACACCGGCAGCCCACCTGCGCGAACCTCACGATTTGCATATCACTTTCTGAGCAGCGCTGCGCGGAGCGCTCCTCCTGTCTCTGCACAGGCTCTTCCCCACTCCTGGGATGTCTTTCCTCCTCGCTGTGACCAAGCTCAGCAGGACTCAAGCTGTGGCCCCTGAACCAAAGCTTCAGCATCACCGGCATCTTAAAAATGCCAACTCTTGGCCTGTCCTGTAGACCTACTGCATCAGAGTCGCTGGGCCCTGCGGCCGGCAATCTGCGTTTGGGCAAGCCCTCCAGGTGATACATGTTTAAGTTTGAGACCATCCGCTGGTGAAGGGGTGATCAGCCACGCTCAGGTACTATCAGTATATGCATCACCACAACTCCTTGCTAACCCCCTTTTCTTTGGTCTTTTTGAGACAGGGTCTCGCTATGCAGCTCATGCTGGCCTTGGACTGACTCTGTGGTCTCAAACTCACAACGATCCTCCTGCCTCAGCCTCCCGAGTGCTGGGATTACAGTCGTGTGCCACCACACCCAGCTCCCTGCTACCCTTTGGAGAAAGACGGTTTCCTCCTCTGTCAGATGTCCTCGAAAGGCTCCTAAAGCTCTGAGCACCTTGCGTAGCGCTTATCACACCAAATGTATCTCTTTATATTTGTTCCTTCCACTAGCCAGGGGGACCCTGCTACACTCAATTCTCTATCTGCCCCGATGCCCAGCACATGGGCCTGACACATGACGACAGCACCGAACCCTCCACGGCTTAAAGCCTCCATGGAGGGTTGTGGGCTGTTTCCCCAGGGATAAGGAGGACTGGTGGACAGTTACAACCAGTGCCGCTTTGGCATCACCTCTGGAAAGCAGGCATTGTGACCGCCCGCACACTGCAGAGAGAGCTAACTCCTAGAGAAATAGAGCGACTTGGTAACGAGGTGTGGGCCTCGGGATTCAGACCTCAGCTTCACATTGCTGAAGACCGTGTGCTCCTGCGACAGATAGACGTGCACGCACACCACAAGACCCTGAGCACTGCCCCAAAGCTCTCCGGCACACAGCACATGCACACAGCGCCCAGGGCCGCAAAGCCCTCCCGCAGACGCCCGTATCTGTAGGAGTGCACCAGTCCTTTGTCTTCCGGCTCCACTCCCGGAGAGCTGGTCCTGGCTATATGTGTGGCATGCAGCCCTCTCTCCCCCGTCAGCCACGCTCACGCCGTGTTCTGCCTCCTGAAGACAGTCCCCTGTGTGGAACCAGCCCAGGGTCGGCGTCCTCAACCTGCCCCTGGCCCCTCTGTGGCCTAGCACACCCCGTTTCCCTGGCAAGGCCTCAGCGTTCTCACCTGTAACGTGGGAAAGGTGTAGAGCCACGTCCCTTGCCTAATGCTCGCCAGGCCGCGCGGCTCTCAGAGTTCAGAGCGTCTCAGACTTCAGAAACGTGACAGGCGCATGTACAGCGTGTCACCGGGGCGGCACCCCGACGGTCAAACTCGTTACTACTTGTGCAGCAAACGTGTGAGCATTCACAGCACGTGGGGCAAACAGATTGGCCTCACTCCAAACCAGTCTTTACCACCAAGTCAGTCACAGAAGGGCTTTCGTTTTTTCTGTGCTTTCAGGAAGGTGGAATTTCAGAGATACTGGAATTCCACGTGCCCTGGAGGGTTACTACAAGGACTAAACACACACACAGAGCATGCAAAATACTTCTCCTGGAAGTTACAGCTGGAAGTGCAGAGGATTTTTTTCTTCTCCCTCTCCTTTCCAAGTCCTACTTTTTTTTTTGGTCTTTTTGAGACAGGGTCTCCCTATGCAGTTCAGCCTGGCCTTGAGCTCGCTTTGTAGCCCAGGCTGGCCTCAAATTCGCAGCGATCCTCCTGCCTCAGCCTCCTGAGTGCTGGGATTACAGGCATGCGCCACCACGCCCGGCCTTCCAAATCCTACTTTTTCTCAGACCTCTTCCAAACCTTCTTCCTGGACTCCCCTGGTTAGGACGCTTCCCTAGTGTGCTTTGCCCAGCCTTCCTCACATCTGCCTGTGCAACTGGACCCTCCACCCACACACAGTTACCTCTATCTGGCCTGGCAGAGGTGGGAATGTTAGAGGGCCTGCTTGTTGGTGAGCTGGTCTGGACCGTTTCAGTCTTTTATTTATTTACTCCCTTGTGACAGCATCCTCTCACCCGAGCAGGCACCATTTTCCTATCAAGGTGAGTGGGATCTTGCTCCTAGGAGAAAGCCCACCCCAGCAGTCCCCTGCCGCCGACGCGCCTCCGAGGGAGGTGAACACAAGCGTGAAGCAGCTGGGCCTATCTGCCAGAGCTCTAGGGATCGGCCAACACCAGTCCCTCCAGGGCCTGGCACTCCTCAGGAGCCACGCACAGCCGCGCCAGGCCTTGGGATCCCTGCCACGGGAAGGCACGCAGGCGTGGAAGGGCAGCGGCCGGGCGCCCTGGGTCCCTGCGTCAGCCGGCAGGGCGCTGTGCGGCTGCTGTGACGAAACTGCACCTCGGAGTGGGAAAGCCCTGCCTCGATCTGAGCCGTCATTATGTGGGTCCGAGTCAGACACCACGTGGGGAGTCAGGCCTCTGCTGCTATTTCGGCCTCAGGGGTGAAAACATCCGAACAGTGGAATCTTTTAATGCTCCTGGCTCCAGCCTCGGAATGCACAGACTTTGGACTCGCCGTTGTTTGTCTCTGTCTATCACCACCCCAAGGAGAAGGGCCTCCCGAGGCGCACATCTCTCCAGTGCGTCCCTGGCCGCCTCACAGCTGGCACCCTCCCCACCGCTCTGGCAGGTGCCTGCTGCCTAGACGACCGGGGAGCCGAGGCACCCGCGGGGGGCATGGCCCGCTGGGGCAGGCGAGGCCGGTGGAGGCCGCGCGGTGGCGGAGGCTGGGGGCCGAGCTGGCCGGCCAGCCTGGGGTGCCCGCAGGGCGCAGCTCGAGGAGAGGCCTGCGCCCCTCGTGGGCTGGCGGGAACTGCAGGCCGGGGCCCTGGGTTACCGCGATTGTTGATTTCGCTGGCTTTGATGAGGCGGGCGTCTTCAGAGGAATGCAGACCTGTCTGCACCCGAAAACAAAACGCGGGCCAAGGGGCGGGGCCGCGCGCCTGGCAGGGAGGCCCCACCTCGCCGGGGCGGACGCGGGCATCTGGAAAGTGGGCACTGGAGGCGGGTCCGGGACACGAGCAGCTACACTGCTTTCCCACGTGCGCAGGCGTGGGCGCCCAGAGACCCCGCAGCCCGGGGCGAAGGAAAGAGTCCCGTGGGGCGGAGAACTGGGGGCTCCCTCTTCTGTGTGCAAGGGCAGCGCGCGGAGACCGCTGCTCAGGGAGCCCAGGCGCGGCCTTCCCAGGGATGCTCAGAGCCGGCTCCGTGATGTTCTGAGTCAACCGAACCCTTGGTTCCGCTCCCCGGCCGTCACCACCCGCACTGAATCCCCACTGCTGGCCACGGGGCGCGTGTGGCTAATGAGCTGTTGACATGCGCTTCTAATCAACGCCAGCTTTGGGAGAGGTTTTTTTTTTTTTTTTTTTTTTTTTTTGCTATGCAATTCAGGCTGGCCTTGAGCTCACTTTGTAGCCCAGGCTGGTCTCGAACTTGCGAGGATCCTCCTGCCTCAACCTCCTGAGTGCTGGGATGACAGGCGTGTGCCACCATGCCTAGCTGATTTAGTATTTTTTTAAAATGTATGTTCTTATTTTTTTGTCCCCTGGGTTAATAAAACATAGTATAATTGCTTTTTACTTGTTTCTCTCTCTCTTCGATGTGCTATCTGAAAAATTTAAATGACACAGTTACTTCTTTTTTTGGTTTTTTTTTTTTTTGGTTTTTCTCCGGTACCGGGAACCAAACTCACGACCTTGCGCTTGCCAGGCAGGTGCTTTTGCCGCTGAGCTAAATCCCCAGCCCTGACACAGTTACTTCTATTCCCCATGTTCTTCCAACTTGCCCAGGTTTCCTTCCTGCCCCAGGGCCTTTGTTCTCGGTCTCTCTGCCTACAGTGCTTTTCTTTCAGCGGGACTTCCTTCTCTCTTGCCATTCAAATAGCAGCTCAAATTTCTCAGGCCTGACTACCTCACTGGTCCTCTTCTGCCACACCGGCTGGTTTTACTGTCTCACAGCTCTTCGTGCTCTCTTAATGTGGTGTTTACCGCCTCATCCCAAGCTCCTGGGGGCTGAGGCCTTGCACGTCCTGTTCCCTGGGTTTCCCCCAGTGCCCGGAGTAAACAGTTGTTGAATGAAAGCTGCAAGGCTCCTCCTAGGGGGGACTCTTTCGCATGGCTGGGTTTGTTCCGCAGGCCCGATTCTAGTCTGTGAGCCTCCGGTGGACCTTCTCCTGGACCCTTTGCTTTGTCTCTCTGCTTCCTTTTCCTGGGAGATGGAAGGGCAAATGTGCTTTACTTTAACTCGCTTGTTGGTCCGCAGCTAAGCGTCAGGAGGAAGGGCTTGGGCCTTGGGGAGGAGGGAATCTGGTCTCGTCTTGGTGTGTCCAGCCTGTTCTGTGGACCTTGGTAAGTGACCGTCTCTCCCAAAGCCAAGTGTTCCCTAACTGTTGATCTCCAAGGCACTTGCTGCGCAATGTGAGGACTTGGCCTGGGGACTGAGGTGCCTCCCAAGGGCAGTTTGCCCTGCGCTGCGCTCAGAAGTCACACAGCTGGCATAGCAGTCTCCATTACTCAGCCAGCCCGAGCGCTTGAGGCAAGAGGTGTACCAGTTAATTGAGATTCCTAAGGATCAACTAGCCAGAGCACCTTTCTTGAAAATGCAAATAGTATAAGACTTCATTTTACAGCTCTGAAATGTTGCCTCATCAAACAGAATTCCACATTCTTAGAAAAAATTTTTTTTTGTCTTTTGGAGACAGAATCTCCTTATACAGTTCAGGCTGGCCTTGAGCTCACTTTGTAGCCCAGGCTGGTCTCGAACTTGCAACCATCCTCCTGCCTCAGCCTCCTGAATGCTGGGATTACAGGCGGGCACCACCACACCCGGATTTCTTAGAAAATAGAGTATAATGGCATTGCCATTTCCCTCTCACAATTAAAATGGAGCCGCAGGGCCAGGGATATAGCTCGGCGGCACAGTGCCTTGCTTGGAAAGCACGAGGTCCTGAGTTTGATTCCCAGCACCAAAATAAAATGAAATAAAATAAAATGGAGCCCTGGGGCTGGGGCAGAGAGACCCTTTGTGGGTTCCTCGGCTTAAGCATAGTCGTGTGACTGTAGGAAAGGGCCAGCTTTAGCCTCCAGGGTATTCATTTTCTTGGGTGGCAGTGGGTGAGATCCCCCATCTTCGAGGGCAGTCACAGTAACACACAGAGTGCTGAGCACAGTGCCTGGCATGTCTCGAGTGCTCACTGATTAGTCCTACTTTTCCTGCCTCTGACCACTGCGATGTGATAGCCACAGAACGACTGCAAGGATGACAGGAGCCGGGACAGAGCTGGCCCCTGGCCCGGGCCTGCTTCTAA